GCACCCTGTCAACAAGTAATCTGCTTTCGTCCGTGCATGAAACCGTCAGATAGACTGATGTCTGGACAGCTTAGTGGCCTAAAAGTCAAATCACTTTGGACAGTCTAATTTCAGAATAAATTAATGCAGATAAAACCTTATGGAGGGTATCCAACTTTTTTCCAATTCGTTGAAGTCGCGTAGGGTTTGTCCCATGGATTAAAGTGCAGCTCAGAAGATTTTCCCATATCTTGTTCTTCACAACTTTTCAAACCTTGAGAAGGGTGGTTTGGAGAAAGCGTATGGGATGTATTTCTGAAAAGGGACATCAGGGTACATTCTTGACTCCTCAGTAGGCGAAGACAGGTGCATCTCATTGTTCTCAAACTCTATATGACCATGGAATATACTGGCACTGTTTACCACGTCTCGTAGATTTCGCCGTGGACTTTCTAAACCCGTCTGATCGCGAGGAGCGGGAGAAACTGCCCGCGTTTGCAACTGGCAATCCATCCAGGCCCTAAGTGCGGGGTCAACCCAAGCAGACATTTCCCAGTGCCCAACAGAATCCTTCAAGAGAAACCTCCGTTACTCAACGGGGAGTTGTTCGCTATGGCTCTCGTCCAAGCGATTATTGCTTTGGTATGGTCAAACTAGCATTTACCTTTATCTGTATGCACACTGGCACAGTAACTGTATTCTGTTTGATCAATAGAGGGCACTGTCGCGTTTCGAACATCAGCCCGCGAGCATTAAAATGGCATCGCCTTTGATCAATGACAAGCGCGTACACCTCAATTTCTAAGATTAGTGCTCTAGAAGGGTGGGTCATTGACGATTTTCTCTCACAAACTTCGCCCTCGCGATCGCACACAGGACCAATGCTACTGAGCTGGAGGGGGCATATTTGACCAATCGCTTACCACAGTTTCCAATGCGATGGGATCCGTAGTTTTCCAACTTGAAAAGGAGCTATGCGATGATGCAGCATTCCAATTGTTGTACAGGATTGTTATGTCTATTGTATCCTACGGTCTAACTGTTTACATAAAGAAACGGTGCTTGAAATATTCTATCCCTAAGATTAGGGTTGCTAAACTTATTTCACCCTATGTGATTTGTATTAGCTAACCTAATGCCTGAATGGCAAACTGCTCGAAAAATGCAACTGCTGGTTCGATTTAGACTAACGCTCAGGAAGCCTGGCGTATTTGGCTACAACAGAACTTGCATTATGAGCCTAATGGGATGACTCCCTGGAGATGGATAGCAAAAAAACGAACATCCGTAAAGAGAATCAAGGATCAAACATGTTCGTTGAGCTAAAAAGATTTTAGGCCTTAAGTAAATTAGTGTAATCATAAATGGACGCATACAGGAACGGAACCAAACACTAAGTTGATATATACAAAGCCCTAAAACCCGTGCCATCACTTGCCGAAATAAGTGGTCATTTTCCAATGCTCCATATCTCATTTGTTTGATTGCTTGGATTTACCACCACAAAAATTGAAGAAAGCGAAATAATAAAACGAGAATTTATATTTATATACTGGGCAAAGAAACCTTCATAGTTGTGAACGAAATTGTAAAACATCCCTTATCTAATTTCATCAATAAAAGAAGACATATGTGAGTAAAATTGATATTTGCCATTAATCTCATATGCTCCCATTCAGCTGGAAAAGCACCTTTATATGATAATGTCAAACAAAGAAGAAACAGGAGTTTAAATGAGCCATTTGGACAAGTGAGTTGCGGGACTTGTGTTTGGTTAGGAGTTGAGGTCAATTTAGATTGTAACATTTGATATGAAGGTGAACTGGTCGAAATAATGTTGTGAATGTGGTGGAGGGAGGGGGAGGGAAGGTCATGTCACACATAATGGTAGTGTGGTATCAAGTGTGACGTCATCACCACCACCACCACCACCACCACCACCACCACCACCACCACGGAAACAACTGATTTTGAACACATCTGCGGTTTTAATTGATTAATACTTATCGTTTTAAATTACTGGTTGGCAGATTTAAGTTTTAGGTCGAGATTGTAAAACGTTCAATAGCCTCAGTGGAATTCGAACCCACGAATGGACGCCACCTACGCCTACAGCATTCCCGAAATTGCAAAGTCCGTGAATTTCGAGGTCTCGAACGCTTTGGGTGTGTCTACAAATGCCGGGCAATTGCACTGGATGGTAGTTTCCTTTCGCTCAGGTGTTCACCTATTCCGGTTGATAAACAACGTTCTCTCGGTCCGATGTACCTCTGACCACAGGTAAACTGGAATAAACAGATACTGTAGGAAGTAGCACTAACGTCTTCTCGTTCCAGATTAAGGCGAGTGATACAACGAAATTTTCCGCAGACAATCATCAGTCTTGCGGCATTGTATGTTCTTTCCATGGGGTGCTAAAAGAGGGGATTTATTTGTTATCACATCTTCTTTGAAAAGTAGTTCTATGTACAGTGCCATTGCTCTGTTGTTCCACACCGTCTTGTTTCTCTCACCTGTGACCCAAAACAACTAAATTCCCTCTGACCCATTAAGCTCTCTGATTGGATCATTTTCCGTGATTTGCGCAACTAAGAATCCCTCAGCCTGACACCAAACTATCTGATCACCGGTTCGTAATGTTTGCAATGCTCCTATTATGCCTGTGGCTTAGGCGTGTGGTGATGGCACTCTTGCTGTACACAGTGAAAGTTTGCTGGGTATTCGGAAGACTCGAGTTCGTGAACAATGTGTGGGTTCTCCCTGGGATCAGATGGGTAAGTATCACATTCCTACTGCAGCTAAACCATCCAATCGGCCGATAAATGAACCCACCGATACTGTGAATGTCGAGCGGCATAGGAGAAACATAAGTTATAAATCCGATGCTGTTTAAGTGTTGCGGAGAATCACCACAGCAGAATCAATGTTGGTGCGATGCGCAATCCGGGGAATTCGGTATGTGATTGTAAGTTGCACAAATCACGGAAAATTATCCTGTCAGACAGCTTAAATGGCTTGACACGATCATATAAGTGTGGCTTTACGGCAATAAACCAGGTTGTTGGTTTGATTAAAAGTCCGCATCAGTGCATCTAGGTACCAGCAATCTTTGATGAACCAGTAAACGCCAGCAACAGTTTGATGATAACTGAAGATTTACTTTATTCTGACAAGAGAAATTTATATATCGTCTGATGCATACCTATGCGATATAAGCACAACAGAGCCAGCCAGCACAAAAGTGACATTTGCTATTCCACGTAAAAAACCAGGTCGCGGCAGTCATTCCCTTTTCTCTGTTCTATTTAATGCATCCATGTTTCCACGATTTAATGCTATGGCAGGTGACTAGGTAGCTGAAAACAATGAATAATTCCATCGTATCTTAAAAAACGCATTAAGAGAACCACTGTTTTATGTTCCATATACAGTACTCGAAATCACAATCACGAAAAAACAACTCATTCAATACTATGTGATAGTTGAACGGATTTCATTCGACTTCAGCGAGAAAACTACGGGGATAAAGTTGCGTAGCCCTGATCGACTGTTGAAAACAGGTGTTTAACATCCGTTGTTTCTTTAATGGGAACTGCACAAAGAAAAATTGATTACGGAATAACAGTTCACATGTCAGTTAGATAGTTTGGGTTAAAAATGGAGAACAGTCAGCAATATGGTGTGAATGATCACAATCGCTCCCTACATTTTGATTTACCGGTTTAGATTTGAGTCTCGGTTTATCACTGGCACAAATGAATATGATAGCTTATGGGTCTTTGTAAATGATTATCCGTTTGAATATATATATATATATATATATATACCTACAAAGTTCATCTAGCACTAAAAGGGGATGCGGATAATCTGCTGACCGGTTAAACTTTATCGTTGAACAAAATGAAATTGTTTGATTGGACTTCACTATCAAATAAATGGAGTGGAACGGATGTGCGAAGTGAGAAATAAAACATTTTCAGGTCACACGTTTAAACGGGCGATTAGCGATCTGGGAATGACCTTAAGTGATCCACTCCAGGTTTATGGCTACGTGTCACTGGCTATTATTTGCTTAATTTGTATTTCAAAATTTTCATCAAACCATGGAATAATAAGAATAACGTACGCAGTGAAAACTTAGTGATCTCAAAAAGAACAATGGAGTGAAATTGTACAAAAGAAACAGGAAGAAAATCGCGTTAAAAAATTCCGTAAAACCTTCATGAAAAAGCCACATCAATAAATATAATTACCTAGTGGTGCATCTGAGGAAATAGGTTTACAATGACTTGGGACTTCATGTGCCCTTGGAAAGAACTGTGTACTGAGATACTCATGATCAAGTGTGGTCTTACACTCTGCTATGACAGCAAAATTAGACACGAAAAGTACGCGCTGCTGACGAGTCCCAAACAGGACGAAAAGGCTGTTCAATGCTCTTTGTCCGTTGTCACCAACATTTCCACCGCATTTAAAAAGACCTCATTGTTCCCTATCAATCCCTCCACGTCATTCTACCTTACAAGTTTGGGGTAATTCATCCTTTACCACGTTATACTTTAGGTGGTTTAAGTTCACTCTATTTATGATACTTATTTAAATTAGCAATTTCCCTTTGTATGTAACAGGAACAATTGTACATTTCGCACGCTTACTCAAACACAGATAACTCTTCTATCCCGAATTTCATTCAGGGGTAATTCCAGTAATATTTAGTGTGTCGCGTACTGTTGGTATTGAGTTTAATGAAATGCCAAATCATTCGGAATGTTTTACTAACCCATCGTCTAGTTAGGACTCGCCGGTTGAACTGCGGTGCTACTCACATGGTTTGAGAAAACAATTCAACGAACAGTTGGTTCTTATAGTCACAGAACCAGGGGGATATATGTTTTATCTGATCAAGTGTCCTTTCAACCTCATTGTTTAATATATCCTCCGTCTAGCCGAGTTTCGGGTGCTTGGACTCGGAATGATATGAGAGGACTACGCTCAGGTTAAACAGTGTGATCTCACACCTCATGGATCCAAAAAGTGGGAAACTTAGGAAGATAGCTTTTGACACCTTAATCTATCTCGGGTATATTTGCATATTTAAAAAGCACATGTCATGCGTCTGCTAATCTTGTTTGTCGTAACGTCTTTTGTACATTTGCAGCCGAGAATCGTAGCCTTATTCAGTATAGACGAGTCAAAGCGCGTCGGAACAGCTCCAATTCACAGGCGGAAACTGGTCCTCCGCCACTGCATTTTATGTCCAAAGATGAATCTGCAAACTGCACTCGAGGGCAAGACGGTCCATTGTCGCCAAGCTTTCTACCGTTGGATGCAGGACTGATTGAGGATCGCGGAGCAGTGAGTAAACATGTGGAGACCTGGCTAGAGGAGACGGTTAATTTGACTCGACTGAAACAATCACGGTAGGTGGTTGATTACGACATCCGAATGATTACATTCTCACGGCCGTTTCCTTAGTCTAAAGGGGGGGATAATTAAAGGGACAAAATTCCAAAACTCGATCATTAGACACTGGATTTTTGTATCAAAATAAAACTTAACTATTGAGAAATAAATTAACACTGTCGCAATTGAAGATAGGAATATATAATACACTCATGTCAAGCAGACTCAAGGTTGACGTAATTTTTCCGTCAATACTTCAGGTATATAACACATCAGTATTTTCCCAAAACAGTGTTTCTGGTGCAGTGTGTTCAAATCCAGTGCACTGATCACCAAGTTGATAATAACGTAACGTATTTTCAAAGTAAGATGTCTCCATATCAATTTAAGATTTCCGGGTACATGTGGACAATATGTTACCAATAACAATCCTTGAAATAATCAGGGTCGTGACGGAATGCGCAGTCGACCGGAATTCGGTGTCTTTTCACACTTCTTCACGCGAGACTTGATTTTGCTCGTGTGCAAGAAGGCACAAAAAGCTACTGGTTGTGGGGGTGATTATGTGGTATACTGTGCGAAAAAACGTAGTCCCTCTCATTTTTTCGCTTCCCTATTACCTAAGGGAGCCATTTCTGGTTGGAAGGACCGACCGAATGTTACATTGCGGCATACCACATATAATAACAAAACCATGCGCTGCATGGTAATTAGACCACGGAAACGGTGATGACAAAATTATAATACTTCCGATGTCAGTTTTGCATAGGGAATTCCGCAAAACCCCTAGGGCTGATAATTGGCTAGTTCATTCAGTTTGTGGATATGTTGAGTAAACATATGAAAGCTTACGGAACTCGCGCTGAACTCGTTTGTACGACGTCACATGGAAAGAAACAGATTTCTAGGACGGATTACCTACGTTCTACCAAATGGAAATCAATTTTCAAAGTAGGGGATCGAAAAACTTTATATCGTAGTATATCAAATGTGTATTCTCACAAAACTACACAGATTGCTTTGTCTGATTGCCAATAATCTGTGCTACATGGTGATGTTGAGTGGTAGGATGGAAGCCAGCCTTTCAAAGAACACTCAAACACACACTTAAAATATATATATACATATACATGTATATAATTAAACGGGCATATTGCTTTCGCATAAAGCAGGTCGTTTATCATGGGTGAACAAAAGTAAAACGTGCGAACAATTGCAAAAATATCTAATCCGATGAAAAAAGACTATCTGAATTGAGCAGATGCTTAGAATTATTGCTAAACTGAAAATGGCTCATCACTCAAAAAACAGGAGGGTTTAGTGCTGATTCAGAGTCTCCTTCAGATCAAGATCGTGCAGTGACTTGATGGCAACCCTCGTCTACACATACCTCTCTGTCGAACCTTGGTAAATACAAGCTCATCAGATATGCCATGATTCTAAAGCTCACCACTCAAAAAGTAAACAAAAACCGCCCTGTGGTGGGAATAAGAAAATATTGATCAAGAGCCGGACATAGTTTGAGAATGAAGCAGATCTTGTAGATGCATCGATATCCTAGCAGAGGATTAGGATACAAACGAATTTTGTTAACCAAAGCATCTTTGCTGAGGTGATTCTATACCTTGGTCATGCTGTTGTTTAATTATCCCACGCTTCATACTTTTGTATTCTAAAATTTGATGTGCCCTATTTTGGCCTACATAAGTTGGTTCAGACCAAATGTGTTTTCGTTCGACGGTAAATAAAAGACAATATGAGGAAAGTTGAGGGAATCCTATGTTTTGTCGCTCACTGCACATCAGCACGTTTGCGCATCGGTGCCGCCATCGGTTACCCATTGTCCCAGTGTGCGTGAACACTACTTGAGGCACGTACACCGTATCCTTTCAAAAAAGGAAAGACCTCGTCAGCCTGCCCCGGTGCACCGAAGCAGGCCACAGTTTGCTGTCGAATGCTACTTTATTAAACAGGACTAGCAGGTGAAATCTCTAAGTAACTACTGAATAACAGCGAGTACCTGTGATGAACGAACTAAATGCAAATTTCAAGGGATCGAGTACATTGTTACAAAAGCGCATTATTTTACTTCATCCGAAACTGTCCATGTAGGGTAAAAAATCGAACAGGGATGTCTTACATTTTGCTGTTGATAAATCGGGAAAACTCCATCGTGCTAAATTTCTGCCTAATCAAACAAAGTGTCACAGCTTTCGTATAAGAAACAAACCTTGTATAAAACCAATTTTGACGAGAATTGATTCCAGTGATTTTCAATCTAACATGACTAGACATGACATCTGGTACCTCATGTTTTTAGTATCATCTAGCTATGTTTATCTCCAGGTTGATTATAATAAACTCTGAAGAACATTAGATAATACACTAGTTGCAGCCTCAAGTTAATGAAGACCAAAATCCAAATGGCATGAAAGTGCATGATGTAAATGAAGTTCACCATTCACGTGATCCTAAAAACGATGTTACCGAAGCATAGCTGAACCCGAACTATTACCTTTTCATGAATTTTATGCCGAAGGCTCTCACGAGTGCTAGGAAATCGGAATGCTACCTAATAAATGCTCATTTGTTCACGGGGCTGGCAAATAAATTCGTACGTTTCTCTTCATCTTTTTTCTCCCTTCTCAGTCGACGTGGGAACATTTATCACATTTGTAGTGGAGATGCAAGTTATGAACCGCCTCCAGCTCAGGTAGCTCAACCACGAAGTTTTGACAGTCCGGTCCCCTTGGGCCTATACGAGTCTCCAAATGCGTATTCTTTGATTACTTCTCCTCGACGTGTGATTCAGCGCCAACTGCATTGTTCCTCTCAGCAGTCATCAGATAGTCCTCAATTGATTATGCCCTCTTTGACCATTGATAGCAACGAAGGTTACCCGATGTACCGCATGGGTGAATCCTCAGAACAAGATTCCAGACCGAGTTTCGGAGACCCCCCTTATCCTTTACATCCAGATGACTCTAACTTTCCCGGAACCTATCGCAGACACAGTGAAAATCCAATAAGCCGCAATAGACAAGCACCGCAAAACTCCATGTCTATCGAATCAGCCACTGGGATTAGCCGCACGGATTCGCAGCCCCGAGCCCACGGTCCGGCTATGATTGTGGGGCCTGGTGTGGGAATGCCTACCACTGCCACTGCGGCAGTTGCAGCGGCTCCCGGAACAGATCAATTTTTGCCTACCCCAAACCAGGGTCGAGAAAGAGCTAGTTCCTTTCAAGAAACAGGATCATCAATGAGACGCAAACCCCCTTTCGGTAACGAGCTCGGTACCAATTCCAATCAAATCAGATTCGCAACTGATCGAGCCAACTTGATAAAAATGACCATCATAAAGCAGAGTCGAAGCTTTAGTAGCCCCAGACGAGGAAGTCGATCGCCGACTATCCAATCGTTACGAGAAGATTCAGATTTAAAGCCTCATCCCTCGGCAGCGTTGCACACACCAAGTAAATTGCTCACTCGGAATCCACCCAGTCCGCTGCAACAGTTAGGGAGACAACAAATGGGTACCTCATTGACTGGGCAATGTCCGTACTGTCCTAACTGCCGTCCACATTGTGTNNGGGAGAAATTTTACTAAAAAACCCGATTGCTTCGACCTTTTTCGAGCGCCGATATTCACATCATTTAAAACCGTTAGATGCATGGAATAGTCGTCAGTCGCATAGTATGGAGCTGGTAAATACTAGTCACCAATCTAGTCGTGGACTTATGTCTGGTGGAAAACAACCACTAACCTCAAAACTGTCTCTCCAGCGACAGGTTCCACAACTGTACAGTCGTTCTATGCAACAGTCGACTTGTTCGTTTCCTGCCCAGTGGTGCGGATTCCTCAGTGGGCCAGAATTATCACTGACATCACCGTTTGATTCAGCCAGTATCACTCCAGATTCACAAAAAGTGCGACACTTTTTCGAACAATCATTCGATGGTGTAGAACGTGTAATGACGACCACAGGTCGAATATTAGACCACACAACACATGTACATTCTGCTTCAGGGTCCCCAGGATATCCCCATGTACGAAATGTGCGTTTAGATCGATACACACGAGGATCACAAGACAGTCGAGATCAATACATGCGATCAAATATGCTTTGTTCTTCACAGGCACTAGAACGTAATCGAGATCGGCGCGTCAACAGTTTTGAACTGAATCTGACCGGGGATAGGGGACACAATGAGGCAAAGCGTCAATCTTACTTGATGCTACCTAATCATTATTCATCGGATTCATCAAGACGTGGTTCCGCACTGAGTAACACATCCGTACGATCCGCACGGGAATTCACGCCACGAATTGATGAACGCCTCGATGATAATCCCCTGGTGCCTGAACCAACAGTGACTAGTACTCCAGCATTCACGGCCAAATTAATACCACCAGATTTGATTTTCAGTCCAGCTTCACGGAGAGCTTCGATCATGGACGAACAAGAACGTGCTTCTCCTGATCCATCCATGCCTCCCATGATACTGAACCGGAATCCGAATTACGCAGATCCCATAGAAACCGCGGATGCAGATTCTCAGCTGCCTTATCATGAACCAGTGGGGATTGAGCAGGAATCGGAAAATGGGGCATATGCTGGTGTGTGGTCGACTGAGGTTACTGATCAATCTCCCATTCATGTACGAGGCCATCAGTCACCCCTTGATCCCGATACAACTTTCGATCTCGGTGTACGATGCGTTGGCATGCACCGAAGTTTCAACAGTGCCTATCCACAAAATGAACGTAACATCTGCCTTGGTGGGATGCGTCTACCCCGAGGACAAAGATCTCAGGACTATCGCTCAATGGAGGGTTTAAGTGTTGGACCTATCTGCACTCCACTGTCTCATTCTCATGATGATTTACGTCGTTCAAGGAGTCAGTTTGCATCAGCGTCAGCTACAACCTATCCATCATCTGACTGTCGTCCTCGATTTCCCGACTCTCATGCGTATCAGGCCCTGACAAGATCTTTGGCCCCCTTGGTAACAACTCCCGCGATGCCGATGCGTTCTTCCGGTAGACCAATGATTGCACAGAATAATGGATTTCGTCCGCTTCTTGGTGGATCGGAGAATCGAAGTGCAATGAGNAATGAGTTCTTGCGATCAGCCTGTGGAATGTTTGGTTCCGCCGGAGAAAAGCATACGTTCACCGATCCGTATGCGTTTAAATGCAAGCACAAGTGACACAGGAACAACTGTAAATGTAGCTAAATCAAGAAAAAAACGATCCGTAAAAGGTGTACTTTCAGATCCGGTTACCCAAGTTGAGGATACAGCACATCTGAATTTACAAAAGTGTGTTCGGGAAAATTATTTATTCCGTAGCACAAGTACGGGAGAATCGAGCGTGGATCCGAAGATTTTAGAACCTTCGCTGTGCCCTGTACTTGACAGCAGCGAAGAAAATATCACGGACGGGACATGCGAGGACGACGGATCTGGGCATAATAGAATCACTTCAGGTGGTTCAAAATATTCTGACGTACAAAGATTGCAAAGACCCAACGAAACAGCTTCAACCAACCAAGAAAGATGTTTACCAACGTCTGAACACCATGCTGCACGCCGACGAAGCTTTTTGGCTAGATATTGGCAACAGGCTATACAAAAGAGTGGTGAGGATAGTCTAGATAGTCTGGACACTTTGCGCACAGAGACTGAAGGCTGATATACACAACCGAGATCAAAAATTGTACAAATTAGAGATCTTCCTTTGTGATGGAAAAACAGTCAAATATGATTTTAAGCATCACTTTGATCGATTATCATCCGTGCATTATTCAGTCATTCACTCTTTCACTGCAGAGTGAACATGAAACACTTTGGGGAAATTGCTCTGGCTGGAATGAGATCAGTCAAAATCTCTGATGGGGTTTATATTCTCGCCAGAATAAGTCCAAATCTACTGCACTCGCATTTTTCTCCCACCCTCCTTCAATACGATAATACATTTCACTTGTAAAAATTACTTTTTGAAGTACTAATTCGGTCATTATTGCTTGCTATTTTTTAAATGAGATATTCTGTGTGCATGCGTGCCATGGCACACCGTGCATATGCACAAACACACAAACGTTATTTTAATCTTGTTTAAACCTTGGGTGTTGTAAATTTGTCCAACCTAATACACCAAGGTTTTTCAATCCAACCCCTTTCATTTTGACATCAAGATTGCAGGCGTAAATAAACACTAACTGGGGTTGTGGGTTACCTCATTTCTACAAATCCAGATTGGAGGGAAAACGCTTGAGTGAATCACCTTGAAAACGTTTATGTTACTTCACCAGAAAAGGGTCGCAGACAACCAGCGGTGATGCTCACGAATGCGGAAGTTTTTGGCCTGACCGGTGATCACTCGTTTAGTGCAACTCAGTATTTATGGATGATAGCAAGCAAGAATCACAGGTGAGCATGAAATCGCCAGCGATTGTTAAGGTTAGAATAAATACAGGGGTGAAAAACAAAAGTTTAAGTGGAATTCGGTGGAGAAAGGTTTGCTCAATCAAAGGTTACTTATTGTTGAAAGCCAAGAGGAGGAGGACACAATGTTACGCAAGATACATAACACATATGAAGCTATAGAAGTTAATTGTGCTGGTGAACATTTAACGTTGTTAGGAATTGCCACCATATTGATATGATGAATAATGCGAGGTAAGAGCGGAAGGAACCACAAATGCTTTGTTTTATGCACATTTGGTGCAGCGCTCACTCCATGGTATCAACTGTGTCAAGATCAGCTTCTTTTCTTAAGTAGGACTGGAAATATCTGTTTTTATTACCTCGGTTGTGATTCAAAGTATTTTTAAATAAATTTTACAATCTTTCGAGTATAGCATGAATTATTTTGATGCCTTGAGTGTGGTAAGGGCATGCTCCTTATAGGCCATTTTATGGAGAATAGAACCACAGATGTACTTGGCCATTCTTTTGAACACGGATACAGCACAAAGGATAGCAATACGTTACATGAAACCACTTGATCATGTTTCTAAGTTAAAGCACTCTACAGGTGCACCGGAAAAGATGCAGAGAGAATTACTGAAATTGAAGAGCGAATGTTTTTTTGTTTGTTGGTACTTTGAGGGCCCAGTGGTTGTGAAAAAAATAAATTTTTGGTGCGCGCATTTATCTAAAGATCACATGACTTTAGGTCTAGTGCTTCAAACGTTAACAAAATTGGCTGTCACTTCACAAAGTTCAAACGACTGAGAGGATGAAGAACAGCGAAGCAAAAGGTAGTGTTCAATGAAATCCGCATTCACGTTATAAGATCACAGTAATCGAAGATAAACTGTGGTTTCCTTTATTGTATAAACCGGTTTGCGAAGGGAGATACTGGAGGTTCTGTGTTCGTAATTGGACAATTGCAGTCTAATCATAGTAGTTTCGTCCATTCCTGTCAAGAAACACTTTATGCACCCAAAGGGTGAATTTTCAATGATGGAAACTCAACAAACTTTGACCTCCTTTGGTAGTATGAATGGGCCGGAGTTAAACAAATAGGTCAATAGTATGATTCATCGAGAAATTATTCCAGATTGAGTAGTCATAAGAATACAAAATTGCAAACAAGCTCGATTTCGGTGCCACATCAACTGGCTAAATACAGCACAGAGTTAACAGCCGGTGAGAGGAGACCTATAACTGCTATGGGAATCAGAGTTTGAAAAGAGATGATGAATTATGATGATTGATGTTTGTGAGTGTGAATGTTTGTCTGTCGGAAAGACCGAAGGTGGTTGTAAATGGGTGGGTGAGTGAATGAGTGACAGTTCACGTCACCAGATTGTCAGTGGACGGCCATGGTATTACAAATAGTCTTACCAACTGTTCTTCTGCGCTCAAGGAAGAGGGGCGTTGGAGACGGAAGGCAATCGCCTCAGCTGTTGACAAAATTCTTAACTTTATCTCTCTCGATAACCTACTCTTGACCGTACAGAGAGGATGGAAAACCTCAAGTGCATTGACTGTGTGATAAGACTCAGTCCAATGGTTCGTAATTGCCGTCACCGCGGTCCTTGTCAATACTCGATTTTGCAACTGGATGTTTGGCAGAATTGAAGATTCTATAGCGATTGGGAAACGTTCGGTGACCTCGATGGGATTCGAACCCACGCACGGACGCCGCCTACGCTTTTGTTCAGCACACGCTCTACCAGCTGATCTACGAGACCTCACCGATAACACTGATCTTTTCACATTCGTATTACCCATCCAGCTAATTAGTCTGCATGAACATTTCAGCGTTTCCCTGGTGTATTCAATGTTAGTTCACACTCACTGATAACACGACGAATTTATTGAGGTAAACTTTGCTCAAATCCCAAGCCACCAACTGCGTAACACAAGGACAAGCGTTTGGACTCTAACTATAGTTAGGATTCTGAACAATATACTAACTAACTTCAATGAGTTCTGGAAGGAATGAAACATCGATCCTGTGCTTTCCGTCTGTGATTTCACACAAATTATTTTAAATGCCTAGTTTGAATGATTTTGAGGGTTAATTTATAAAGTGAACGACAAGGAGCAGTGGATAGTTGTCTCACTCCTGCTGAGACCCGTCATTATTGTCCAGTTAAATGCCCCGCCGGGACTGAAAAAAACATCTTTCGGTTCAATTACTAAGTAGTGCCTCGTTCGAATGGTGAGCATCGATTAGGCTATCTTCTTGCTTGTTTATGACTGCATCCTTTATTAGGGACTTGTTACCAGCTAAAAGAATTCACGTTCTTGACAACATTCTCGGAATTTTACGCATTTTCTCACGACGACACAATGACAAACGACGTGACAAACGGATGATCTTTTATTTTGTTTTTGTCAGTCATTTTGACCAAATCCGTTGAATAGAAAAATACAGCGCTGTTTTCTATTTATAATTCAAGCAGCATTCAACACGGTTTGCTACGACTGAGAGATCATGTAACAGATTTGTCAAAAACGGGTACTGTTTGTTTCAAAATCTGACACCTGTCTCATTTAAACCACTGGTGTACTCTGATCAAAGGATCACGTCGGATGGATAATTCGAATGTGAAAACATATGTGCTATCGGTGTGGCCTCCCAGCTAAGCTGGTACAGCATGCGCGTACAAAGAGTAGGCGGCGTCCATGCGTAGGTTCGAATCCCACCGAGGCCACTGAACTTTTCACAATAGCCATAGAAATCCCTGATTCAACAAAACGGAGTGATGCTCCTTGATGCGGTCAGAAAGACATCTCATCGTTCGACCCACGTAACTTGTGCCACAGGAACAGGTGAATTGATAAACCCAGATTGAGGTCGCATCCGGCGGTAATCTATCTTTAGTTCTCACACGCGGATCAGTTTGGAACGGAATACAATGCGGGGTTCAGCCGCAAAGTGGGTGAGTCTGATGGAAGACTGAATTCGCCTACTCAACGGCTTAGTGATCGTTTCTCCTTTGAATTCGATGGAGAGATGGGCGCGCTTCTTTTTTGCTGCGTGACATAATGCCTTGGGTGTATATGATATAATACTTTTATGAATAGATGACTCAGGATATCCATTCTCTGGAAAAAATTTTAGTATTCTCCTCAGTTCAAACTCGACAGAGTTCGAAGAACAAAGTTTCTTGACTCTATTGGTTAGGCAGCGAATCACTTTTTCTTTGTATAGCTCTAGCCCCCTTCCTGAAAGTTGACTGTATATTCATATATTCAATAAATAGAAAAAGGAAGTAAAAAGATATTTATTATTTATTTTATATTCTGTTGGAATCGGACGAAACTTTGGTAGTGTGTGTACTGTCCCGTCCATGTTTTCACTTGGTAAATGCTTCTAGGAATGGAATCATTTGGTCGTCGAGACAAAAACTTCCATACCTTTTCAATTTCAAGTGAACTCAACCAATCGCGTTCCATTGGGAAGGTATTTGGTGTACCGGTTGTCAGACTTCACTGATTGGACCGGGTCTGTCTAAACCCCGTCCAATCCGAATGAACTCACTCCCTCGAAAACAAGCAAAGGTACGCTTGATTCAAAGGAATCGTTGCTAGTTGAGGGAATCACGGCCTCAATGGAATTTACTCACCAGGA